TCCCAGATTGTAGGACACGGAAGAGCGAACCTAAACAGCAGCACACCAGGGGCAGGCCAGGCACACGGCAGCATCTCCTGGTGTTCAGAGCAACTTCCCAGTGGAACCAGTTGCCAGGAGAGCGTCCATGCTCCTCCACGTCAGGGGCATTCAAGGAGAAGGAGGTGGACTGTTCTCTGCCAAACCAGAGTGATGCCAAATGATTCTAGGTGGTGAAAACCCAAAGCAGGAACGAAAACACCCAGGAAGCCCTCTCCACACCAGCTGATTTTCCCGATGGGGAAACAAGGCAACAAAAAAATAGCGAATTGGTAGCCAGGCAACTAAATTTCTCCCATTGCAGCTTTTACCATCACTTATATCAGCAGCAAGAGAAGGAAAAGATCTTCCCAGTCTTATCTTAATACCTTTGGATTCACTCCTGGCTCCAGGGAATTGCTTCCTCCATCCCTCCAGATCAGGCTTTCTGTCAGAGAAGTCCCAGATCCTCCATTTCAGCTCCAGAGGGAAAGCCGCTGGGATCTCACGGGGCTCCTTCTCACTCCTGCCAGAGAAAACAGAGGCAGCCTCCACTCATCCAACCCGGCATTCCCCCTGGAAGCAAAGGAAGGCCAGCCAAACACAAAAGGTGGGCTCCTTTTGTGGGAGGGAATGGTCCCCAGAGGACCTTCCAGCAGCCACACAGGTGGGCAGGGCTTCAGCTGATTGGGGCAGTCGGGGCGTTTTGCTTTTGTTCAGTTATGCTTAGTGTCAGCACTGTGTGTGCTTTGTGGGTTGTGGGAAGTTTGCCCCTTTGGGGATGATATTTGGATTGTGGGGTCTGCATATAAGTGCCTAGTAGTAGGCTGTGTGGTTTGCTGTCAGAGAGGAGTCTTCCGCCGTGTGTGAGGGAGGGGAAGGAGAAGGAGCATTCCAAACTCAGCAGCCAGATCCTGTTTTTGTTTTGCAAGATGCTGGTGATCTGTGTTCTCTGCTCAGGAGCCGGGAGCAGCCGGTCCTCCCAGTGCCGTCCAGACCCTTCCCTGCACCAGTGGAAACGAGGGGGACGCACTCACCTCTGCAAGGTGCTTCTCACATCCTGGAGGGGAAAGAAAGAGGAGGGGCTCAGAGGGTGTCGCTCTGCACTCCTGAGATGCACCTGTCCAGTCCTGTTTGGTGCCTCCACTTGAGGACACAAAGGAGTGGACAGAAACCAACCCCACCAGGGGGCACCAGGAGGAGCTTCCTGACGAGGGACATGAATGGCCTGGGAGATTCCATCACCGCCAGGAAGCCTCCACCTGAGTGCCAAGTTTGGTGCTCATCTTGGAGGCTCATGCCAGTAACGGTGCTGCTTGCCAGGCCAACATGCACGGTGCCCTCTGGAAACAGGTGCAACCCTGAAGCATTTCAAGAAGGGAGGATGTGAGAGGCTTCAGACTCATGCCAGATGCCTCCCACAGCCTCTTTTGCTCCCTCAGCCAGTCTTTTGGAGGACAGCCTTCTCCCAGCTTTCCCAGGCAGGAATCAACCACTCCTGTCCAGCAGCAGAACACTGGGGTGCTTGCCCACAGGAGCCACACTGAGAAGCTCCCTCTTGTGTGCAGAAGACGGATTTCTTCAGGCTTTGGGGGCATCAGTTGTGAGCAGAAACATGCATGAGAAGTGAGGTTAAGGTCTGCCTGTCCTGGGGCTGCACCATATTTGAGATTCTGTTTAGCACAGGAATAGATCCGACCTGCCTTCCGGATTGGCAACACCACTAGGCCGAACTGCTTTGAACTATGTGCCGTGCTCTGCAGGGAAGGGCTGCCCTGGGCTCTCGATTCCCCGGCATTTTCTCTTCCATGTGACCCATCCTGGCTGAAGTGCTCCTTCCCTTCCATGACACATTCTGGACATTTACCAGCAGTGCATGCTTCTCCCTTTCTGCCTCTGCTTTACATGCCAAAATGCTTCCTCTCTCATCCCTCAGACTCTCCAGGCAACGCTGCAGCAGATCCTGGAGAGGGAGGAGCAGTTCACTTTCAGTTTAGAGATGCAGAAAAAGGAATCCAAAGGGAGTTCATGCTTGCTTCCCTTTCACATCTTGGTGGGGTCAGGGGGAAGGGGGCTCTCAGGTGCCTTCTTGACCCCAGGCAGATCCAGAAATGAGCTGCAACATGCGCTGGGCAGACTGAGTTTGAGGAGCTCTGAGACGAGATGAAGGGATGGTGCCATCCCAAAATGACCGGTCAAAACACCATTCAATTGACTGCCCTTCCTGAACTCTTTAACTTTGAAAAGGAAAAGGTTTTTCCTGCTATTTCCTCACGAGGGGAACCAGCAAGGGAGCATCCTGAAAGGGCAAGGAAGGCAGAGTGGAAGAGACTTCTGGCCACCCCAGAAGTGACCAGTGCCGCTCTCATTCCTGGGCAGGAATGGTGGACAGGGCAGCCCCTCTGTGGAGGAAGCAGCCTGGAAGGAGAAAGCCCCTGCAGAGGGGCACTCTGGCTTTCCCTGGGAGAATTCTTCCATTTGGAATTGTACTGGGGTTGGGCATGGCCTGTGCATGATCTCTGAAAGAATCCTTCTCTTTGAAATGGGCTGTTCCTCAATAAAGGAAAGATTGCAGCACCCACAAACACACACAGCAGCTGGTGCCTTGAGGAACTGCAAGGACAAGAAGGGGGAAGGGGGAAGAAGGAGCGCTTGGAGTTCTGAATTCCTCACAAATATTCCTGAAGTCAAGGACCTTAGGTGCATCCAGCATCTTTGATCACCCCCTTCAGTGCTGGCCTCTCATTGGCTCTGCACCCAGAGACCAGCTGGGCCGGACACAAGCCTGCACACAAGCACAGGCACACGCAGGCACACACTCAGGCAAGCAGGGGCTGTGGGAGTGTGGCCCCCTGTTTTAATGCAATTCAGTACTTCATTTAGCAATATTGTTTATTAATGGTTGAACCTGTATGCCTTGGCCACATGCAGCTGGGCTTTCGCGTAGCCTTTGGGTAGATACAACAGAGGTTCGGGGACACACAAAGGGCAGGCAGGAGGAGTCTTAAAGGGCCTGCTCCATATTGCAGCTCCAGTGCGAATCTTGGTAAACTCGGAGGGTTGGAAGGAGGGGCAGAGGAGAAGGAGTGATTCCTGGGGCCACGTTTGGTTTGTGAGTGTCTGAGACCACATTTCCCTCCCCGCTCTGGGGCCCCTCCATGTACCTCCATCATGTCCTGGCTCACCGCCTATTTCCTCTCCCCCTCCTCAGAGCAGGCACAAACCCAGACCTGGAACAACCTAAACAACTCCCACCCCACAATCCTGGGGCTTCTGGGCTTCCCCCAGATTCCTTTTACATAAGAAGGAACATGCATGTGAACAGCAATCCTGCCTGGCCCTTCCCAGGGACCTGCTTCCTGGGCAATCTGGAAAGGCAAGAAACCAGTGGCTCACAGACCATCATTCCCTTCCCATTGGCGGGTCTTCACAGAGACCACGCTCAGAGGGGCACACAGGTATTTCTCCCCTGCCCCCACACAAGAAGTAGCCGGACCTCCTACCTGGTACTCCTGGGATGCCTCCTCCAGGGGAACCACCTGGTGATCCTTGTGCTCCTTGGCTCTGTCACACACCAGGCAGATGGGGGCTTCGTGGTCCCTGCAGAAGAGTTTCAGGGGTTCCTGGTGCCTCCCGCAGGCTCGCCCCTTCCCTTCGGCCCCTTTGGCCCCTCTGACACCCTGCCCTGGTAATACCCTGGCGATTTCCACAATACTGGCCAGCTGCCAATTGGGCCGGAGGTTCCTCTTCTGGAAGGTCCCTCTGCACTGGGGGCAGGTGGCCTGTGCACCTGATTCTCCCCTGCTCTGGCTCAGGCAGGCTCGGCAGAAATTGTGCCCACACTCGGTAATGCTCACAGGATCCCTGAAATAGTCCAGGCAAATGGAGCATGTGGATTCCTCGCAGAGAGCCTGGAGGATGCTTTCCGGAGCAGCAGCCATGACTTCTGCCCAAAAGGCATGCACTTTCCTCAGAACAGTAAATGGGAGTTTCCTTCCTGTAAATGCGAGTTGGCCTGACCCATCCTTGCTCTGATGCCCAAGCCAGGTATGTGACCCCGCCCATCTTTCGGTTTCAGCTCTGCACAGTCTCTTCCCTGGGGCCTACATCTCATCCGCTAATTGTTCTTTGTGCATCAGAATCAAGAAAAGGGTGATTTTGTTTATGTTATTGAGACATGCGGCATTTGGTGGCCCCTGAAGGAACTGCAAAGGTGAGGTCTGTACTGGATGCTTTTGTAACCTTTCTGTTGCCTGCACAGTTTGGGGAGGGGGGGATCGGGTGGGCAGTTTGCTAGGGGCACAGGAGAGCGAAGCAACAGGGTTGAATGGATTAAGACAACACAGCACAAAAGTATGAACCTTTGGGGTGGGCAACAATCAGAATTTCTAAGGCTTATGTGTCCAAAGAAGATGCTTTTATTTAATCTCTTGGTTAGATACAGAGTTTGGGGGTGGAAGCTAAAATCAAATCTACACCTGTTTGTCACAAATCAGCAGAATTCCCAGCCAAGTTGCTTTTTAGCAATGCTTTTGCAATATATGGCTGTGAAGGTTGGACCATAAGGAAGGCTGAGCCCTGAAGAATTGAGGCCTTTGAATTGTGGTGCTGGAGGAGACCCCTGCGAGTCCCTTGGACTGCAAGGCGATCCAACTGGTCAGTTCTACAGAAGATCAACCCTGACTGCTCTTTAGAAGGCCAGATCCTGAAGATGAAACTCAAATAGTTTGGCCACCTAATGAGAAGGAAGGACTCCCTGGAGAAGAGCCTAATGCTGGGAACAAT